GGGTGCTGCTGTCTTGGATTGAATATATCCTCCTTTGACTACTGTTGGAATTAGCCACTGTAAACACTACATAAAAGTTGAATCTCTGGCTTAATAAGTTTTCTTCCTTTTACTTTGAGGAAGAAGAGCAGGAGGACACTGCCTTTTGTACTGTTGAGTTTTGATTTGAAAATGCTATATTTTTCAGACTTGAGATGCATTTAAGAATTAATCTATGTGATTACACCAGGTTTGGGTGGGTATTACAATCTGCTATTTAATATTATAGAATTACCTTTATTTCCTCTGCTCATCCTGAAGTGCTTTAATTTCACAGACCTTTGTCAAGGCTTCTGATTATACTGTGTTGTTCCAACAGCTTCTGAAGATGATTCTGAAGACTGATGCTGGCAGAACTTTCCTACTGCAAGAAACAAATGGAATTGCTGCAGAAATGCTGAACTGGCAAGAACAACGTCAACATGCATTTGTTTTATTCTTCTCCTTAGTAAAAAGCGCATTGAATATCCTTGTGGTTTTTGAAGCATTGTTGAATCAAAATAAACTGATGCACAGTGGAACTCTCAGTGGACTTGAGAACTACTCAGCATGTGTGAGGATTAGATACATAGAAAGCAACTTCCCTTTTTAAATTATGAGGAGGATGAGCTTTGTTTTGGAGGACATCAGATTTTGAATATTTAAGGAAGCTTTATCTCCCTTTGTGTTTCCTTCTTATTGTAGTCACATTTCTGGTTTTGTCTTAACCGAGGTTTGCTCCTCTACTGGCACTAAGTGGTTATAGTGGGTTTCAGGGGTAGGGTGGGGATGTCCATGTACTGAAATAGGTTTTGTTTGGGTGTTCTTAAATGCTCTTTTGCCGCATCATATAATAACTGATTGCTTCTGTTGTTAATAAATGAACAGGAGGATAAGCAAGATACTGTAGAAATTGTTTGGGTTTTGGTTTATTTGAAGATTCTTATTTAACTGAAAAAGCAATAAGAACTTGCAGTGATCTTTTAATACTTGGTGATGGCTTTTTTATTTACCAGTTTGGAAATTGGAGATTATATTTGATATCATGTGGCTGATCCATTATGGAATATTGGAGGTGTAAACTCTTGCATTTCAGCATTCCTAGCAGATATGCAACTTGATAAAGACCTAAGGTTGCTTAGTTTAATCAGAGTTTTTTTAGATCCCACCTTCACTGTTCAAAGCACTGGTTATCAAGGTGTTTTCTAGTGTTGTCACTTCTTTATAAATAAAGACAAAAGAGGTATGCATCTCTACTGGTATTGTCCATTTTATTGAAATATGGATGTTTACCAGAACTTACACTTGAAAACATAGAAAGCTGTAGTCTGTGGTATATCTTTACTAATGTTTATAGATTCTTATGCAGATATTTAAGATTGTTTCTGACCATTTTGGACTGAAAAGCTTTATATGAATGGTGGTACAATAAATTCTCATACATGTATTGGAATTGTATTTCTTACAAATTGATGCAGTATGTTAAAATGCCATGAGTTTAGTTTATTGTTACTGTATGTAAAACTTGTGCAGAGGAAAGGATGTGCCTTAACAGCTGAAATGAACTCATGTGATTTTTAACAGTTAACTTTACTAGTATTACGTGAGATGGCTTATCATCTGTAAGATTTGAAAGAAAATGGCATGCTAATGAAATGGCACATTGCTATGCCCATTCTGGTAACCTTAGGCATTGGAATATTCAGTGGCAATGCCTAGAAGTATTATTCCAGAAATTAGTTGAAATAGAGCGCTGGGACATTTATCTGAAAAGTCAAAGTCCAGGCATGTGTGAAAATGTTTCTTAACTCATTTCTGAAGAAAGTGAATTGAAGTTTATAATAAAATGTTCAATCCTTTCGGAGTTAGTTGGTATAGCTGAATAAAATGTCGTACAATGAAGCAGTCAGTATTTCATATGCAGTCAATACATTTAGGGTTACAAGGATGAGTTTTGATACCCTAATAAATTGATGACTTGAAGGATATTTTTTTCTCTAGTCCTCGTAACAAACAACGGTCCCTGAAGGTGAGCAATGTAAGTAGTTTCACACACAAATTTGGTTGAAGTGATACATCACTCTGTTGTCCTGCAGCCTTGTTGAGCTTCAGTGCAAATGAAGGAATGACATGGGGGGAATATTGGGGTGAAATTGGTAAAGGGTGGAGGGTTTGAATGCACCTTTAGGGAGGACTGCCAGCCCCAGCTGCCTCCTCCGAGGAGAGCTCTCCTTTGCAACCCTAATTTCCTGAGCTGTATCAAGGCAGGGCAGAGGTTGGGAGAAGCCAAGATGACCTATGTTCTGAGACCCCATTCCACTCTGTAGTACTAATTAATAACCCATTAATTAGCAATTAACTAATTGATTTGTTTCACCTGCCCACAGCAAATCCTACCTGTACACAGATACACTAGAAAATGACAATTTTGCAACCAATTAGGTCATTAAATAATGACATTTTCCAATGATTGTTTTTCACTGATCAATGAAATGACAAATCAGTTTTTTCCACTAATGAAGTAATGAACCTAGCTTACCCAATTAACAAATGAGCGGTTTCTACCCAGTTATTACGAAATTACTTTTTGTGAAACCACAGCTGGGGTTGTTGAGCCTGAAGAGGAGGCTCGGGGGTGACCTCATCACTCTCTACAACTCCCTGAGAGGAGGTTGTAGCCAGGAGGGGGTCAGTCTCTTCCCAGGCAGCTCTCAGTAAGACAAGAGGGCACGGTCTTAATCTCTGCCAGGGGAGGTTTAGGTTGGATACTAGGAAGAAATTCTTTACAGAGAGGGTAATCAAGCATTGGAATGGGCTGCCCAGGGAAGTGGTGGATTCTCCGTCCCTGGAGGTATTTAGGGTGAGGCTGGATGTGGCACTGATTGCCATGATCTGGTAATCCCAGTGGGGTTGGATCAAGGGTTGGACTTGATGATCTCAGAGGTCCTTTCCAACCTAGCTGATGCTATGATTCTATTCCCTCTCAATTTCCCTTCTATCTAAACACACCCAAGGCAATGGTTCCATCAGCTCCTGGCATTGCGAGCTGCCCCTTCCCTGGCACGCTCATGCCAACACTCATAGCAATCTCCCGGCACCATCTGCAGGGCCCCGCGGGACCAAGCGGGGCGGGGAAGGGACGGCACGGGAGGGG